TAGGAAATCGGGCTGCAACAGACACACATTTATGTCAGGCAGTGAAACGGTCGGGCGTTTGAAGAACAGAACAAAAAGAAAAAAGAAAAGCTAATTCACTTGCATGTCAAAGGCTCAGACTCTCTGCGAGTTATTTCTTGAAACACCTCAATGTAACCAAGTTCATGAACTCTCAGCATTTTGTCAATAGGTTTTCAAAACAAATAAAGGGATCTCTTCTTTCAAGATCTACTACTCGAATGGAGTGAAGTTTAATCCATTATCCAAAACTTACACAGGCATTGAAAAGCTGCTCTCCACTCAGTCCTTGGTAGAATTAATATTTTCAACCCCTTTTAAGTGAAACTCGATTCCACTTTCTTTCTGCTTTGCATTGCAGAAAATATTTGTCTTTTTCCCCCCACTCATAAATTTCTTTCTTCCTCTCCTTGCAGGGACTGAAATGGCTACCAGATGTGGTTCCAATCTGTTCCCGTTGCCGTGGAAACGCAGGGACTGGAATAGATTTTCTGAGTCCAGGGCTTTTGGCTGACTCATAGGGCCTGAGTTTTTAAAGCCTCGCTGTTTCTATAGACTTGGCAACGTGAGAGCATCCCAGCTCCAAGTCATGTTTAGACTGGCAGCCGACATGTCACTGAACCCCCTTCCCACACTCCTAACCCTGACTTTTTGACCACGCTCTACACTATCCCGATAGTCACCCCTTTGTGTTCTTTTGTGCTGCAACGCCAAAGAGAATTTATATTTCACACATCAACCTTCTATACCGAGTCAATAAAATGAGCAAAATATTACTCTAAGCTAAACTGCAGAGGGGATGTGAAAAGGCCAAGTCCCATAATCATGCACAGGCCTCTCCCATTTCAATCCATTCATGAGCAGCAGGCGCAGAAATCCGTCGCAAGTCATACGCATACTCAGTCAACACAGTTTATGTTGTGCGGCGGTGACACGCAACACACATTTCCAAGCTGTGACTTTCCCACAACATGTCAGGGATAAAAAGCCGGAGAACATGTGTTGGTATGCTCAGCTGAGAATCTTCTCCATCTGCGAGTTGAGGACGGGCAGACAGAGGCACTTGTGTCAACATTCCTCTCTATCCTGGCAATGAATTACACTTCAAGCCATTGTCGCAGTTAAAAACGAAGAATGATTTGAGGGGGGGGGGGGCGGTAGATTCCAGTATGGGTTTGGATGACGGTCTGTAAAAGGAGGCTAAAAGGAAGATTGATTTGGACCTAAACCATATCAACTTGTGACCTATTAAAGACCAAGACCAAGAGTAAGTCTACAGCCAGTGTAGCCTCCATGTGTTGCTGTACAGCTGGGTTCTTTGAGGTAAATGCTAACACGAGCATACTAACATGCTCACAATGACAGTATTTAGAAGATATAACGTTTAGCACGTTAGTTTTGTGTGTTAGCTAAAAAAAAAAAAAAAAAGTCAGATAAAAATCCTTTAGAAAACATCAAAGTAGGTATGAGTCTGTGAAGTGGAATCAAAACCAGACTGAAGCTCTACAGCCATAACAAAACATAACACAACTCAACACTTTATCAAACATGCACGCATTCATTATACACATGTACGTAGTAAGTAGAACACCATGTCAGAAGAGAAGAATCCAAAACAAAGCTGCTTCGTCTTCTGTTCCCAATTATCCATCACATGACCTATCCATCCGTCCTTACATCCATTCATCCATCCATCCATCCATCCATCCATCCTCCCTCTTTGCCTTGTGGCCCAGTCCTGGTTATATCCCTCTTCTCCTCGCCAAAAGAGGAGACATATGCAGCGCGTGATTAACTCCTTAGCACAGAGTTTCCAATGTTTTTCCCCTATGAAAGGAGCTCTTGTCCCCCCCCCCCCCCCCCCCCCATCCTGAAGGAGCCGAATCAACAGTCCCCTGGTTCCCTCGGGCTCTTTGAAGAGGCCGCTGTGACTGAACCACTCTGTAGGACTCCTGCCTCGTCCCTGGGACTCAGCAGTCCGGTAGCTCAGAGTCACAGGAAAGGGTCAAATATCAGTCAACATTTGAATGAATCTCTTTAGAGAATACAACAGGACATTTATGTGGCGTATTACTCAATATATCCCCTTTCACCTTATTGTTGTTTTAGTTGATGGGACACCAGAATAAGACACAGGGAAAAGAACCCGACAAGAGGTTATGACCCCATGACAAATAATGAGGTCTTAGTGAGTTAGTGTATGACGGCTGTCAATTTTAAATGAGGACTGATTTTTAGGTTATGGTTTGACTAGAGCTACATGTCTTGCTTTTTTTTATTCCAAAGTAGTAAATGAGGAAACACCAATTTAATGACCATACACAAATGGAAATCAAAAGTTGCTTAAAACAAACCACAAAAGACAAAATACACCTTAGGCCTACAGTTGGTAATGTTTTTGCAGCTTTTCAGGCCCATCTTTACAAAAAAATGCACTGTAAGCCTATGAAAACAGGCACGGGCCAGTCAGATAAAAATTGCCACTTCATAATTACACAATGTTATGGTTTTAAGTATATGCAATTGTTTCAACAGTGGTATCATAGTAGTATTGTACAATCCTTTCTGTATGAGCTTTTTTTTTTTTCTTCTTTTTTTTTTATAGGAGGCAATGATAACAACTGGAGGGAACGAGAAAAGAAGATTACAGATTTCCTGTGCAGCTATTAATGCCATATAATTACACTCTGCGTCATGCAGTTAAGTGTTATACAAACAATAACATCAACAGAGAACAATTACAAAGCCAATGTAAACTTTACAGGAGGAGAGTACTCATACTGTAGTTTTGCTTCAGAGCCCAAAATAAGCAACATAAAAAAAAAAGCAAATACAACATGAAAGCCAGTTCCCTGACACTAAGGAAAAAAGGAGAACTAAAAAAAAAAAGGTCATATAAGCACAGCTTACAAAGATAATAAAAAGTACACAATGTATACAAGTAGAAAATGTTGAAAAAATAATCAAAGAAATGTGTTGTACCTTGATAAAAACACATAAAACCAAGACAAGTTTTCAAATTAGCTGTTCAGCCCAAGGCATACCAATGAAGATTAACCTGCTGCATACTTTAACCTGTCATCCATTGTTCATAGCTCATGCTTTAAGTGCTACTTTCAAAATAGCTATCCATCAGTCACTAAAAAAAAAGCTTTGTCTTTTTGACAAACTGAATTCTTCCAGTTTCAGTATCCCACCCCACCACCTTGCTTGGTTGACTTCTTTTACGATAAACACTTGAAATAAAAGTTGGCAACAACATTTAGGCAAACGTAGCTCCTTTTGCTTAAACTGATCCACAGTTGAGGCACATTGTAACACTCGAGGCACGGTACCATTTAGTCCTATGAACAACAATGAAATGAAAGCACCTTGTTCAGAATGGATCTACTAGCTTAAGACAATATGATCCTTAGGGGACAAAACATCTCAAAACAAGATTGTTTTTTTTTTTTTTTCAAACAATACCCTGATGGCGTAAACAAATTCTTCTGAAATGATATTGACCTAGTTTCTTAGCTAAACTGAAAGAGCAAATAAAGACACATGGCTGTCTCCTCCTGTAATCTGATCTGCAGAGAGCTCTACTAACAGCCACTACTTTAACGAAACTATCTATTGCGTGTGATTTACAGGATGATATTGCCCTGCTTTATGTTTTCTTAAATGCAGCATTGGGAAACTGCAGATGTTGCTGTAATGCAGAGGAACTAAGGGAGTTTAAAGTGATTTATAAGCATGACATGAAGTGAGGACATGGGATAGCTCGGGGTTTCATTTTTGGCTTAGTGGTTTAGCTGACTGAATAAAACGTACAGTAAGAGCACATTCTGGTGATTTGGTGTTAGCAGAGGTATGAAAGAGGTTTAAAATAGGACCCCTTTTTTGCAGAAAGATCAAAAAGCTTGTTTGGGCGAGCTTTGAGAGCAACAATAAAGCTCAGGAATTAAAGGTCCCATATTGTGTAAAGTGAGATTTCCACGTCTTTTTTGATCATAAAGCAGGTCTAGGTTCTATATTAATACTGTGAAATTATCAAAGCGCTCAGTCCACAGAGAAGTGAACACAGCCTGTATTCAGAAATAAACGAGCCAGCAGGATTTCTGTAACTTTGTGATGTCACAACAAAGTAGTCACCGCTTCTCAGCCATGCCCAAAGCCCCGCCCACCTTGACCCACCATCCAACCTTGCAGGATTTGGTATCTTGGAGTGTTTACCTGAAATCTGCTATATTTGATCACTGAGAAAACAGTAAGCCAATCAGAAAAGAGGCCCAGAGACTCTCTTCTGATTGGCTGACTGACCTGTTGTAGCTAGAGCTCCCGAGAGAGGAGATGTAAAACTACATTGAGATGTTTTTTGGTGTTTAAAACCACAAATATATCTTCTTATGGATATGTGTAAAATATGGGACCTTTAAAGGAGACTCACAAGTGGGGAGAACATTTAAGTCATAAATGTAGCATTACATGTGTATTCTCTGGCGTACAAAACATTGCTAATAGCATGAGGTCACAACCTGAAACCTGCTCTAGTAGCAACATGTGGAACCTCATCAGCGAAGAGTAGCTTTAACATCAAAAAATGAGGATTATATCGAACTTATATCTAACTGTATTTGTGCAAGTTGGTCCTTTGAAATGAGAAAACAAACAAAAACAAATAGCTTGCAATCCTCAGAGGATCCAAATTTTTAGTACCTTTAGTACCTGTGGAGCGCGTACATAAAAATAGCTATTTTTTTCCTGACGCCTGCATAGCAAATTATAGTTATGTAACCTCAAAAAGCAACCCATATATAAATATAGTGGTGGACATACTGCAGAGGAATAGAGATGAATGAACTATGGATAATGTCTGAGTGCCACTGTTCTCACAGTTGTGTCCGGCATTGCCACAGGTTGTGGTGTGAGATTGATACATAGTTGTTACACACAAAAAAAAAAAAAAAAAAAAAAAAAAAAAAAAAAAGATTCTTGAAATGTAATACAATGGTGTATAGAGGTCATTATAATACAACTCACCAATATGCCCTCGATTAAAAAGCATTTCTCACTCTTGGCTGGTCCTGAAGTCACAGCACACTCACACAGGAAAACGTTTAAATTCCTTGATTGAAAAACTATGTGGTTCAACAACAAATCCATTTTTAGTCTTTTTGAAATCCATCACAACATTTGTCTTTTAAAACCACTTATTTCACTACCTGCGGTGGCATGATGGCTGTCTTTTGCTGGGGTGTTTTACTTTCAGGTGTATCCAAAGTACCCTCCTTGCCTTTCTTCCTGGGTGGCTTTTTTATTGGAGTCTTCTTTGGTGTAGGATCCAGCGTTGGGTCCCCTGACCTTGAGCCGTTCAAGTCCTGCTTCTCCGGGCTCTTGGCATCAGGGGTCCCGAGGTCGGTAGTGACGGGAGCCACCATCTTCTGGAGGCTGCTCGAGGTGGGCAGCAGGGGCTTGGTGGAGCCCTGCTGGCTCAATCCACTGGAGGGGGTCCTCTTGGCTTTCTGTGGAGGTGTGGGCTTCTCCCGGTGTCCCTTGGGTGTGGAGAGACCGTTGGTCTTCGTCAGGCCTGTCCCCTCGTTCCTGTTGATGCTTTGGGTTTTCTCCTTCAGCTGAGCAGCCAGCAGTGTTGCAGCCTCAGAGTTCATATGAGGATGGATGACCTTAGGGCTCTTGGGTGGGTCTTTGGGGGTCTCCTTTGGACTGTCAGCACTCTTCTTCTCAGATGAGGAGCTGTGAAAGCTACTAATCTTCTTCAGGGCATTCTGAACAACACCATTAATGTGCTCCATGTGACTGGGACTGCTGTGCTCGTCCCCAGACTTCTTACCTCGCAGAGGTTTGTGTTTACTGGGGGAGCCGTTGGTGTCTGCCTCCTTCCCCTCCTGTTTCTTCTGCTGCTCGCGGTTCCTCTCCTTCATTTTCTGCCTCTCCTCACTCTTGGCTGAGCCATCGCTTGAGCTCCTCTTCTTCTCCTTTGGCACTGCCAGTGCCTTCATTCCCCCCTGTCCCTGCTGCTCTGGCTGCGGAGACCCTGTGGTATTTCCATGTATCCATGATATCTTGGGCTTAGTGGATGGGTCTGGTGGGCGTGGTTTGGGCTTGCCAGGTGAAGGTGGTGGTTTTCCATTGCGCTTGGCCTCTGGTGTAGGAGTGCCATCCCCGTCCTTGCCACTACTGTCATCCTCCTTGGACTGCTTGGAGAGGCGGGCGATGCGGGCGTAAAGAGCCGCAGTTGTGGACTCAGAACCGCTGGTGGAGCCTTCACTGTCAGAAGACTTGAGCAGGGGCTGCTCACTGCCTTCCGGTTTTGTGACACTGGTGTCTTTCAGGGAGGTGTACTCTCCTGCATCGTCCTCATTACAGACGACCTCTGGCTTCTCTGTTGCTGGGCTGGGGCTGCGCTTCTCTTTGCTTTCAGTCACAGATTCTGTGGATCGTTGGCAGATCAACAGGTGTTAGTCAAGGATTATTTATCCAGTAGTCAAAATCAGTTCATTTTAATTCACCTGGTTTAAACATATAAAAAGAATGGATCGAACTTTTCAGATAATATAAATAACCAGACACATTATCAATCAAATTATGTAAAGTGATGTAATTTAAGACAGAAGAAGTAACAGATTTTTTCGAGTTCAATTCATAGACAATGAAACAAACTGTGGCTCAAATCAATACATTTTGTGGTTTAGTCTAGTACAGGGGTCAGCAAGTAACTTTTGCCTCGAGACAATTTTTAAAACATTAATATAAGTAATTGATAAAAATGCAGCTGGAGTTTGCTTTGTTACTGTTCACATGTGTGGCGCTGTGGCCCACAGTCTGTTCTATATGTTTGACTGATTTATTGAACTGGTGTTATTTTTCACACATCACATGTCGCTATTTCAGAGGTCTGTCAAACAAGCAACAGAACCTTTGGAACTTCCAGAACTTTTCAGAATAAAACCTCACAATAGCTTGAAATAAAGCATTGCTAAAAAAAATAAAAAAAAAATTGGTTGAGAGGAAGTGATTCTGTGGGAAACTGTTGCTGCCATGGTGGAGATCTATTTTAGCACCAGGCGCTGTCCAGCTGGCACTGCAGCCCGCGGCCTGATTCTTCAATGTTTGTGTCTGTCATTCACTCTCAACATGGGTAAAAGTAGAATAAGCTTTCTTGCTTTCTTCATGAAGGGGTAAATTCTCTATTTGGGCATTATAGCTAAATCTGGGACTGTCAATCCTGATTATCAAAATAATCTGGCGGGCCAGATATTATTATGGGTGGGCCACTTTTGGCTCATGGGCCGCCCGTTGCCGACCACTGGTCTAGTATGACCACTAGCTCATCGTGACTAATGTTTGCTATTGTTAGCCAACTTTCAAAACAGTAGACATTGCTTGTGTCACAGACATTACTGAGTTAGTTAACCGACTTGATGATTCTCTACTTGTGCTACTATTACATTATGTTTTATCATTTACTTGACTGTTTTATGTCAATAAAAGTTTGTTTTCTTTATTTTGTTATGTTTTTTTCTGATTCTACTTTATGATAGAGGCCGTTGCGTGCTACACAGACTGTAAAACTCTTTGAGGCAAAATTGTTGTTTGTGATTTTGAGCAATTATATCTACAATGATATTGTAGAGAACAGACTACATAGATTTTAAAAATTCAAGAAAAAAACTTCTAAAGAATGTATTACATCTCTGATCTTCACAAACTGCAGCATTTCATTGTTTTTTCTGCAAGGAGACATTATTTTCTTTCCACCATAAAAAAAGCGCTCACATATTATTTAAAGAGTGATATCTGCACCGCTTCATTTGCTGGTTTGTATACACATACTTGAGAACTGGAGCAGCTCCACTGCACAAGATCCTATCTGTGCAAACTCTAATTCAAAACTCTTTCATGATGTTGACTGTAATCATTTTGTGCCTGAGGCTTTTTTATTCACAATCAATTGTTTCAAAGCCCTTGAACCATTCATGGGGAGAATGAGAACAAAACCTAGCTACTAAGAGAGCACTAAAAATACATTAGTCAAACACACACACACACACACACAAAATCCCCACAAACAAAACTTGACTTGCACTGTCAGACTTTCAGAATAGAAACTGATGGAACGGGTGTTTTCCACCAAACTTCAAGGACCTAGTCACTGTTTGGATTTGTGCCATATGCTGACTTGACTATTCCATTTCCTGTTTATACTCCCCTTGGTCTTGAAGCAAAACCTGGACCTAGATGGCATATGATAAACTGCCAACTACTGTATCTCTGTAATGAGATTTACAGAAATGGGTTGAGTCACTGCACGGCACAGAGGGGTCTTGACTTCTTTTGAAACTTGTCCATCAGTGTGTGTGTGTGTGTGTGTGTGTGTGTGTGAAGGGCCCTACATGCCAAAGACAAATTATGGATTTATGTGCGTCATTCCAGATAACTAAACAGTTTATTTATCCTTACGATGACTCACCTTCATGGGGCACACAGTAAACTGGCCCATCATCTCCGCTCTCAAAGGAAGAGAAGGACTCCTGGGATGACCAGGAGGAGGGGGAGGGCTGCTCGGCCACTGAGGGGGGCTCGATGAAGCTGCAGTTGAAGGTGTTCTCTGGGTCGTGGTGGGCTACTGAGAACAGAAAACAAACGCAGAAGCCAAAAGGTCAGCCAGAGGGTATTGTACTGTGTTACAAGAACAACAGTCTGTTCTCACTCACTCTCACAACTGCAGTGGAGTCGTACAAAGCATTGGTTTAAGTGAGTCTGTGGAAAAAATTGGCTTTTACTGGTTTTGCATGTGAGTTAAACACTCACAACATTATTGGTTTTTGAAATCAAATGTAGATTTTTGTTTTGCACGAGCTGTTCAGTATTTTCATCTAATGATGCCATAAGCTAAAGTGATTCAGGTTTTTATCTTCGCAAGTTATAAGAAAGAAACAGCATTCTGACCATCAAATGAGACAGAAAGTCTCAATTAACCCAAGACTAACAGCATTGTTCATGGTGGGTCAACAGCTCCTTGAGACCCAAACTACCTGGGAACCGAGACATACTTTAAAGGTCCCATATTGTATAAATTGATATTTCCATGTCTTTTTTGATTAGAAAGCAGGTCTAGGCTCTGTATTAATACTGCGAAAGTATCAAAGTGCTCAGTCCACAGAGATATGCACACAGCCCGTATTCAGAAACTGAGCCTTAAAATGAGCTGTCAGGATTTCTGTAACTTTGTGATGTCACAACAAAGCAGTCACCGCTTCTCAGCAATGCCCCAACCCCAGCCCCAGCCCACCTGGACCCACCATCCAACCTTGCAGGATTTGGTTTCTCTGAGTGTTTCTCTGAATTCTGCTTTATTTTATTTGATCACTGAGAAAAGAGTCAGCCAATCAGAAAAGAGGCCCAGAGACTCTCTTCTGATTGGCTGACTGACCTGTTGTTGCTAGAGCTCCCGAGAGAGGAGATGTAAAACTACATTGAGATGTTTTTTGGTGCTTAAAACCACAAATATATCTTCTTATGGATCATCATCCATTACTTTACACATTTCTGGTAAAGTTTTGGACCTTTAAAAGATTTCCACAGAAAGCTAGTACATAGAGCAAAAGCGCTTAAAAGAATCTATGATTTTCTTTGAAGTGATGATTCAGTATTTGGGGAAAAACAGCTCTTTCTGAGAGTGAGATGAGAAGATTGATATCAATCTCATCTCCGTGCAATAATTTTGAAGCTAATAAGCTTAACCTAGTGTAAAGACTACAATCAGGTAATGTGAACACCTGCTAGCCTGTGCACAATCAGTGTTGCTGTGCTGATTTCATTTAATTTCTTAATGTGGTTTTCTTCCGTACTTAGATGTTGAGCTTTTGGCTGGCTTTTTTTCACCATCTTCCACAGAATCCTCTCCCACAATGATATGTAGGTCAAGTCATGTTTCTCTCTCCCTTTCTCCCTCCTGCTCTCTCCATCCTCCTTCCTTCCTCTCCTTTCAGACACTGCAGTATTCTGCTGACCCTTCAGTCTCAGGACAGCTGTGGTTTCCGAGGGATACTTGTGGCCGATCTTCCCATCTGGCATGAAGGGTTCTGGCATAAACTGTACTGGGCGTTAACTCGACATGACCGACCACATCAGATGCTCCTGTTTACATGCCCGATGACACATGGGTCCATCCGTTTGTTTAGACCTCAGATAAACCCTCCATGCAAGGAATCCTGAACAGCACCATGGCTAGGAACAAATCCCAGCTCCTTAGCTGTTGTTGTTTGACTGTAACTAAAAAGAGACAAGTTACTTTAAGAGATCTACTGCAGGGCTTTCGCAGTGTCAGATGAAAAATTGTATTTACTTTGTATTTCATCTGCAATATCCGTATATGAGAAGCCCATGTTAGTTTTATTTCACACAGCTTTGTTTGGATTCTCACTGCATCTTCTCTTGTTAATATTTGACATACATGCACTTTTAAAATGCAACTAAACAAGAAAATCTTGACTTCGACCAAATCTGTTTAGAGGTTCTTCTCCCCGTAAAGTGTAAACTGAACATTTCTGATTTATTTTTCATTCTCAAACTGATCTGATGTTTATTCTCTTCCTTCCTGTGTCCATCCTTCTGCTCACACCATGCGACTTTGTGTTGAGCCTTTCTTGCTTTCAACATCGTCTCAAACAGCAAACAGATTTAGTCGCGGTCATATCACAAGTGGGTTATAGACGCTGTTTCTATGTGCTACATAGTTTGTACAAAGCAATTTTCAAGGACTCTTAGGATTTTATCTAGTTTTCCAGATCACAGATTTAAGCTGCAGGTTGCTACTTCAGATGATCTGGTGACATGTTGATAAATAATTATCAGGTTAATTAGGTTCATTTTTATTGCTACACTGACCTAAAACCATTGCTCCTTAAAAAGATTTTCTTACATTTATCCTCAACAAGTAATCTAAACCTCTGTCCTACATGTTCGAGTTTGGGAGTCTAATGTCTGCGAGTTACTTGTAGGGTGGATAATCTCAACACAGGTGCAACGTGTCTACCATAGACAAGTACAGATGTGTGTATAAAAAAAAAAAAAAAAAGGACATACAGACCAAAATAACAAGTGTGTTGGATATGTATGTAGAGGGTATTTCCATCCAAGGGCACTCGTCTATGTGAGTATTTAAAGATATCCTGTTTGCCATACATTTGTAGTTAAGACTGTAGTGACTACACAAATGTCTAACGTGGCACTACTGTTCTCATCGGATTCAAATCAGCTTTGTGTGGATGCAGTATATTAATAACACTATACATTATAACAATATACAGTATATAACAGAAAACAGTAAAATATTTATCTAGAGGAGTGGATGACACAAAAATATTTGTGCAAGGAATAAATAAATGAATGAGACAGCGTATGAGCTCTATCTACACTTCTGCCCTTGCAGGGTCATTACTGTGCAGCAGCAGGCAGATAGGCAGAGGCCGAGGAATGTAGAGCAGCTAACCTATGCAGAGACTTCAGCTAAGTTAGTCAACAAGCTAACACATGGGCATTTTGCAACATTAGTTGTACGCAGTGATGAACAACTGCTGCCCTTGAAAGCTGCTCCCTCCAGACTGCGGGTCTAGCGGGGCCGATCGCTCTGCAGACTGGATGCCACTGTGATCCCTCCCTACATGGAGGCCGACGCACAACAGGGCATTATTGACACATCCCAGCTGCAGAGCTCCACCACCACAGTTGCTCGGTAAGGGAGGGGGTTGGGGGGGTGGGGGTGTACAGACCTGGGGCAGTGGAAGTCTAGAGGCTAGAGACCTGGGTTGGAATAAGAAGGCTGCTAAGTTCAAATGTCTGGCCCAGCTGTGGAAATCTGGGCACAGAATGGGGAATATTAGTTGCCAATAATAATAGGAATCAATATGTTTCAGCCTGAAATAGCCCATGTCAGGGTTACTGGATTGCATGTCTAAACAGTTTAGACAAATACATTACACATCCAACATGGCCACCTCAGAGCCTACAGAGCAGACACTGATCACAACTGTTAACACATACACTATTAAGACTTTTTCTGCCTTTTTATTAGGCAGCTCACAACTGCATGAAAGTCAATCTGAGAGTGTTACTGCAAACACATTTCCAAACCCAGCCAACTTTCCCTGGATAAATAAAGATGAAAAAAGCAGGTGGTGCAGCTCTCAGCAATCACCCATGGGGGAAGCATTTGGACACAGAGGATGTAAGGAATGCCGCACAGACGCGATCTGTAGGGCGTGGAGTAAATATGCTCAGAATGGAATGCAAAACTACAAGCAAACAGTGGTAGTTTTGCCAAGAGGGGAATAGGTGACAGTGTGTTCATGTGGCTATTTCTCTGAGGCTAACTATGCTAACAGAGGAGCAAATGTTGTCTTCCTCCCCTGCTTCCCCCCACGTTCCTTTTTCATTTTCTCTTGCCACATCTGTTGCCACTGACCCTGGTGTGGATAAATCACAGTTCTGACACGGACTGGGGTAAATTTGACCACTTCCTGTTTCCAACCCCTTTGGGCCCCCTCTGGAATGTGTATGTGTGTGTGTGTGTGTGTGTGTGTGTGTGTGTGTGTGTGTGTGTGTGTGCGTAGGACTGTGTAGTCCCAGTCAGCGTTAGGCCGTCCTAATGTTGGCAGACCATGTTTGTGTGGGTAGCTCAACGGAAAAAAAATCAGGAAGTAGAAGACAGACATTGCTCAATTGTAATAGATAAATGGGTCCATGTCTAATTTGTTCTATGAAAATGTAGTAACTTTGACTGTAAAAGACAAAAAAATGTTAAATTGATTATTTGTAAAGGTGTTTGATGCAGATAACGTTTGGGATCTGGCACACTGCTTCAGGCCTTTTCCAAACAAACATACTGATGTCCCACACTGTCATGACAAAGGCAACTCTGTCCCAGTGTTGTATTTTGAACTGAGAAATACTGGAGACAGATTCTAGGTTAAATAATCAGCTGGATAACTGAGGAGGCACGTGCTGCTCACACAAGGAAAAGAAACCAGGTCATCATGTTTTAACTCCTTCCACACCACACTGACTTCAACAGACTTCTTCAAATTGTAATGTCACATAGTGACAATCAGGAAGCTCTGCAACACTGAGCAATCAATTTATCACTGAGTCTACAAGATGTCAGAAAATTCCCATTACAAGTTCTCAGAGTCCCAAGTCCATATCTTCAAATTGCTTGTTTCAGTCCAAAGATTTTCAGTTTACAATGATACAAAACAAACAAGAGCAGCAAATCACTGTATCAACAGGCACTGTTTTCTTGATAAACAATAAATTGACTGTAAAAAATGGCTGTACATTAAGTTTTGGTCAGAGGACTAATTATTTAATTGACTGATTGCTTCAGCACAACTGCAAATGTCATCCCAATATTCTGTCAGTGTTAAGCATGATTGATATCCCACTTCAATTAGGGAATAAAAAGCTTTGCACAATAATAGCTCATCTAAGAATAATTTCATGTATTGAAAATATTGGATTTCTCATATAGAAATGTGTATATTACAGAAAAATATCGCTGCTATTGTCTGGTAAGTACATAACAACCCATTTATCCTGGAACTGCATGTACAGTCCCAACAAAGAATAATCATTATATTGTATGGAGATAAAAGAGATGAAACATCTGCAGCTAACGGGGTCAAGAGGTCAGTTTTCCAGATAACTGTGTATTTTTAAAACTACCTAAAAAAAACCTTGAACAAAAACAGCCATGTTAAACCATGTGTGATGGGGTTTAAAAGATCAGCATATCTCCTCTGTCTGCTATAGAAAAAAGGGGTCACAGACAGATCTGTCACACACCACGAGACCTCCGCATGGAGAGCAGCAGAGCCGCAGTGTCCACCCAAACAGTGCGGCCTTTGATAGCGCGTCACTCACCACCACCCGGGCCCCCCGACAACCACTGGCCGTCTTTTAATAACACAGCCTCCTCGTCAGCCCGAGAAAAGACGATGGAAACGAGCAAAGAAAATGGGAAGAAAAAAAAGCCCGAGTTTAGGGTTGTAATAATATGAACACATGGCATTTGAGGGTGCCAAGAATAATAAGGGGCTCTAAAACCAGTGCATTCCTTTCAAATGAAACCCCATACTCGCCTGGCAGCCACCATACACTTTTCAACCCTATTCATCATCTAAGAGGCAGACTAAGGTAGCACTGAAGTAAAATGCTCACTCTGACTGTCATTGTCTCTGCCGTGTTCAACTGAAGACATTTAAAAGCACTAATAGCCACAGTTTTTACATTCTCTGACATGTCCATTGTTATCTCAAAATCTGAATAACTAAGTTAATTAGGCATTGGCTATTAATGAAGCTAAGAATGATGTGACTTTCCTTAACTTAACTTAACTCAGGCACTTTAGCATACAGTGCTGTACAAGCACCAGAGAGAAACATTACATAAACTGAAGCAGCTTCCGGCAGCTCTGCGGTGGAGTATGAGAGAGAGAGAGAGAGAGAGAGAGTTCTGGGGCTTACCGACTACTTTGGGCAGTTTCTGTCGCCTCAGTGGAATACGGGGAAGTTTAGTGCTGATTCGGCTGAATCGTCCACACAGGATCCGCTTGGCTTTTTTGCTGTTGGTAGAGTTGTCTTGGTTAGGATTGAAAAGGGATGACGCCATGGAAATCCAAATGAATCATTCAGAAGAGGCATATTAAACCTGGCCCTGTGCCTCTTTTGAGGGCTCCCTGGCTGCTCACATTGCTACTCACACTGCAACGTCAATACATAAAAGAACTCAGAATACATCTTATATGCATTTACTCATTTACCATCCTGGTACCTGTGAAATAAAGCAGAAAAGAAAATGTTTTTCTCTATTTTTCATAACCTATTCAAACCTCCTCCAAATAGGAACTTGAGCCCCCATCGTGGACTATTGAGGCGAAGACACCCGTCTGTCACTCACTTGTGGTCGTCTTTGTGTCGACACAGGCAGCAGCAGCACAGCAGCGAGAGCAGGACAATCAGTAAAAAGGAGACCAGGGTTCCAGCCGCAATCACACCCATCCGCTGGTTGGGCTCTGAAAGACGAGATGCAGAGAATTCTGGGTGTGCCACACTGGCGCAGGGAAGCTCTGAAATGCCAGTTTCAACAAATCTCCCTCTCTGTCATCGCTAGCACTAAAAAACATTGGCATGTAGAAAATCATCATGATTTACTAAAAATTACATTCAGACGACTTGAGTATGGGATTAAACTCACTGTGCATCATTTTTATCGATGTGATAGTTAGCTTCTGTAATAAAGATAGAGCATATTGCTGCGTTAATAATTGATTCTCAGTAGCTGATCTGACATGAAGCATCTCGGAGGAAATGAGATTGCAATGGGCTGAAATTCACCACAAATAATTCACTATTAATCTTATCTCTCTCCAGACACAGGATCACTTACCCTTTCACTGCTGATTTCCTGCAAGCAACTTCTTCCCTCCACCCCCCCATCTTTACTACACATCCCCTCACCGTAACTCGATGATTTATTAGCCCCCCCCAAGTGGGATACACCCCAAAGATGATAACTGCTGTATTGCATAAGTACGGACGACATTTGGCACTTGCAAGGACAGATGACACCAGAGGAGAGGCAAACCATCAGTTAAGGGGGTAAATAGTGGTGGTGGTGGTGGTGGCCCCTGGGTATTTGCAGCTGTCACTTGAGGCTGAGATGAATTGTTAGGCTGACTGGGTGCGGCATGTTGTTATTGCTGGTTTGTGAGGGAGGGGAGTAAGGTAAAGTGACAAGGTCTTATAATATCACTGACCAACCTCCGCCCGTCATGTTCACGGGCCAGAATCCCTGCTACCTACACACTGATATCCTCTCCTGCCTGCCTCCAGTCATCACTTTTTCCTCTACTCTCCGTCTCCAAGTTCTCTTTTTCTCTTCACCCCCCCCCCTCTTCCTCTCACTCTCTCTCTAGCTGGACAGGAACAAAGCCAACAAACACAGCCATAAAAAGGACACCGGTCTGGGTCTGGAAACGCTATCAAGGCCCCGCTACGTTAACTCTCCTACTACACACGCTGACCTGAATAGATGTGATTGTTGGTACTCAGTGTATACAGCCAACTATTAGACATTTAATACACAGGCAGCACCAGTGGCATCTGGCTTTTAGGACAAACAGCTTTAGAGGGTTAGAACTGTTCCTGTTTGTGCAGTATGAGAGTAAAAAAATATCTGTTTTGTCTCAGAAAAAGGAGCATTACTTAGAAAAACACTAGTTTCTGACTGCTGCAGTTCACGGAAACCCCTTAAAAAAATCAACACCACAAAGCATGTGGTTATTGTTGAAAAAAATGACGGGTTTCTTACGAAGATAGCAGGCACCAGACACAGGATCACAGTTCTTGTCGTGGCAAGAGCAGGTCTGGTTGCAGTTCACTCCGTACTGGCCAGGTTGACAGGTCATATTGCAGCTTGAGTATCGAGAGGAGACAAAAACAACATCTGTTTAATGTCCATTCCAAGTGACAGATGTGCAAAATGGGACACGGAAAGAGGAAAAAAAAACAAGCATTTTTTATTATGTGATGGAAGTTTATAGGAATTTTACTTTTCTATTCCCAGAGTGTGCTTTATCAGTATCTGTAAAAAACATGCCTCAGAAAACACAAGCTCACTCCTTCAGGTCCCAAGATATATAAGTGTGTGACAAATGCATCAATCCTTTTCACTACGCACGGTGTGCTGCCAAGGGCCAAAAACTGAGGTTGTTTTTTTTTTTTGGGATATTAGGTGTCTTATGACTTACTAGGTGCCGTAAAAGCCCGGGTCACACAGGCACTCTCCAGTCACAACGTGACAGATGCCGTTAAAACAGTGGCTGCAGTTGTTCTCACAGTTCTCGCCGTACGTGCCGTTGGGGCAGCGCACCTCGCACCTATGACACACACAAGGAATGCCATGATTGCAGTCATTTTCAAAATTACAAGAATGAGTCATGGGCATTATCACAGTGTGGAAAATGGTATTATAGCAGCTACTACTTAAAGGCACTGCCATTATGTTTTGTTTTTTTTAAATGATAAAGCTTTATGGGAACAGCACAATATGGGCATGTTTTGTACATGCTTCTTTTACAGTTGTGCTGTGGGTGTTTTCGTACCTGTCCCCAATCCAGCCGGGGTTGCAGTGAGAGCACTTGCCATGAATGGGGTCGCAGTGGTGACCGTCTTTACAGGTGGGACACACTTCCTGGCAGTTTTCGCCAAAAAAGCCCTTGGAGCAGAGCTGATCACACCGTGTCCCGTTCCAGCCTCTGTCGCAGGTGATGCAGCGTCCCTCCGTCACCTTACAGGGCTGCTGGCCCTTGCAGTGCCCACACCTGTGGCCGGCCAAAGAAAGCAGAGAAAAGAATTCTCATTTATCTTGTTTACACAAATCTGATCCAAATGTAATGAAACCGTTAAGAGGATCTGAAACACGATGAAAGCCATCTGTATTTGCATGCTTTGAATTTTTGCTCTAATGATCATTTAAAGAGGGAGATAAACAACACTGAACTCTCGCTGTGTTCTTTTTGGTTTATAGCAACTGCATCGTGTGAGAACGGCCCGGTCCATGGAAGGTAAAGCACTTAGCCTGAATTGCTTTTACATGTTTGCTGATGATTATGGGATAATGTGAATACCGACTCCTAAATCTCACTTTATTATTGCTCCATTAAGTAACATGTTCAAATATTTTAAGGGTTATCAGCTGCAGCATATATCAAATCTTATTTCCTATCAAAACCACAAAACCGCACCATAATATGTATCGGACAAGGGACCTGAACATTAGGCATCTGTAAAACTGCATGTTTCCTGTGTTTTTGAAATGGTACATTTGCTCTGCCAAGTTTCTTCCCCCCACCTGTTCCTGCAGTTTTGACCATAGAATCCAGCAGGACATGGTTCCCTGCAGAACTTCCCACGGTATCCTGGTGTGCAGGTACACGAGCCATCGGCTTGATTGCATTTGCCGTGGATGCACTGGCAGTATCGCTCACACCGTGGGCCCCACAGCCTCTCGCGGCACTGGCAACGTCCCGTGAACTGGTCACACGGTGAACCGTTACAGTTACACTGGATTGCACAGTTCCTCCCCGTCCAGCCGGGGTTGCACAGGCAACGCCCTGTCATGTTATCACAGATGGAGTTGATGCTGCAGTAGCAGTTGTTGTTGCACTGGGGACCCCAGACGCCGGGGTGGCATGTGCATTTGCCCGTCTCTTGATCACATTTGCCCTTTTGGCATAAGCATGCGTTCTCGCAGTTTGGTCCCCAGCGATTGTGGTTGCAGGTGCACTCGCCGGTCAAGTCATCGCACTGGCCGTTGGGGTAACAATTACACTTCCCCTTGCAGTCAGGGCCCCAGAACTGGGCAGGGCACTCTGTTAAAAGACAGTGACGTAATCAGGAAACAAGCAAGAAGTCTTTTGACTTGTTAAATATCCTTAAACAAGAGTGAGAGTCTACTGCCATGGTAGCAGCAGCAGTACCTATGAGGCTATAGATAGACACAGTAGAGTGCCAAATCAAGTCTTGCTGATGTTTAGCAGGTATAATGTTTACTGTGGTCACCATCTTAGCTTAAAAAATGTAGGAATTGTAGGTATTTGATCATAAACCAAACTATTAGACAAATGAAAACTAGCAATCCATCTTGAGGGGGAACATCAATGTGTTTACCACATTTAATGGCATCCGCTTAATGGTTGTTGAGACTTGAGAAAGTTACAGGATCACCACAGTCATCAGATTCATCCTCTGGACACCATGAATAGTGGTACAAAGTTTCATGGTCATCCAATAATAGTCCTAATAGTCCTGGACCAGCTGACTGACACACCAACATTGCCATGCTGCTGGCATGATTAAAAACCCCAAATTCTACTCATCCTATAGTTTTCCATTTTCAGTAGGAGCTAAAAAATGTGACCTTTTAACATCAAGGCAAAGAGGCAAAAGGTAGAAATGCTGATAAAAAAAAAGGAAAAATAATGCTTACTAGTGTCACAGCTAGCTCCAAAGTATCCGTGACGACAGCGGCATTCATTCGGCCTGACACACACCTCATTTTCCTTGCAGGTAAAGTTGCCTTCACAGAGAGCTTGAGTGGACAAGAACAGGCCACATTATTCAACTGGCTCGCACAATGAGCTGTGTGACTGTGCACTGATAAATGTTAGTGCTACGTTAATGTTAGTGTTGTACATACGTGTCAGGCATTCATCCCCTAGCTGCCCCCATCCACCGCAGCACACCCATCCCGATGACCTGGAAAAAGAGAGTCGGAATGAGAGGGACAAGATGAAGCACCTAACTGAAATGCGGTAAAAACAAAAACAACATCCACACCCAACCCGTGCTTCTTTGATCTCACACTTCTTATTGATGTGGCTTCTGCAAACGTATGCCGGGCATCGTACATGACGCATATGCTTAGCACATGGTTGCATAACTTTCTGAATATGGGTCATTCACATCCAACTGTATGCGGTACTCAAAAGGGCCCTTAACCCCTGAATCTGCAGTTTATCGGATTCTTTGGCTTTCCACAGCCTTCGGGGAACACTGCAAGAGGAGTATGAATATTCAAGGGAAATATTTAGCAGCCACGTTTTCTGCTTGTCAGGAAAGGACGGATGCGTCTCTTCTTCCTCCCACGCCTGTGACCTCCGTGGGGCCCCTGCAACACGTCAGCTTCCCTTAAAGCGTTTGAAGACGGCAGTTTGCTTTCAGTCAGTGAGCAGAGAGCAGAGCTGGTTTTTTTAATCCTAAAAATAGGCACGTGGTAGATAACACAGGCCTAACCTCTGTATGCTTTCACTTGTTATGAAGGAATAAATAAGCCTTTTACCACATATAACACGGCGTTGGATTGAACTTTTAGTGGCTGTGCTGCTCCAAATTCTGACAAACTCCAGATAAAATGTATGCAGTTGACCCTTGTTGACCTTTACCACACAGCCAGTCCATGTCTGCACTTAGGGAGAAAGATTACATTCACTTTTTTGTGCCATTAATGCAATGTTTTGAAGCAAAGCTGCGCTCCTGTTTGCCTTTCATTATTACATAAAGAATGTACCAACTAACTTTGCCAAGGACTTCAATAGCTGCTCTTTCACTGATTCAAAAACACATTTTTCTACATCAGTGCTGAAAACATCACATGGCTAACAGCTTTTTTTCTTTGTTCCCAAACAGTTTTTTAGGAACACGATTCTGGAAAACAATTAGTGTTGAAGGCATCATCAGTTAGGATGTATTGCCATTCCGGCTACAGCAGCTGATTTTGCAATGTTCAGACACGTACTGGAAAAACTGACTGGTGATGATAAATGCTGAATTACTTCCCTCTATTCATTTGATTCAAGTCAGAAAAAATAAAAACATAATAATGGGCATAATGGGAAAAACAAGCAAGCAGAGAGTGGCGAGTTCACTGCGATGAATGTTTGAGGGCAAAATGTCCTATATATATATATATATATATATATATATATATACACACACACACTGCATATATCACACTGAAAACTTCACAAAGCACAAAAATAGGCTGTACTTTTTAGGGGTAAATGACAATTTGTTGCCCTGCAAAGCACAGGAAAATCTGTGAGGTGACAGGACAACTTCCAACTTTTGAGGAGCAGCTCCTGATTACATTGCATTTCATTCTGACTGCACTGAAAAAAAAAATGCAATGTGGCTTTTCTGATAAGCTATTTTCAGTTTTGCTCCAACAACTTTGACTGCAGAGGAAATATTCTTTTTCTTTTTTTTTTTTTTTAGTTTACAGAGTCATCAGTCCCAAATGTCTGTAAAAGAGGTCAAGTTATGTTACAGGAAATAAGAGATACTTCAACAAACTGTAAGCACATGATTTCTTATCACACATCTGTTACAGCATATTGGAAGTTGAGCTCTAGATTACATTTGCTGCTTCTTGCCTACCACAGTCTCAAAAGTTATAGACATCTGTCTAACAAGCTTGGACGCTGCAGTCAGCAATTGTGGACTTGGATGTTTTTCTTTTTACACTGCAGACATTCAGGCTCAGCTGTTTTCCTAGAGGTCATCAAGAAGTGCTTTTAAGTGATTATTTCTCACATGCTTGATATTTATGATATCAACTGATAACCGAAATATGTTCTTTTAATAATATTATAATAATAATAATATAATAATAACTTCTCTCAACTGTCCAAAACTTCAACCACAGTGTGGTTATCAAACTGTGCCACGAATGCTGTGAAGGTCAATCAGAGCGCCCCCTACAGAGCAACAAAACATTGCACTCCATCTGTTCCAGATGTACACATCTGTATAGCTGCTCTCTTCAATGGGCTCCTCCTCCTGCTATACAATGAACATGTTATATGTAGAAAGGAAAGAGGTCAAAGTGAAATACTGTGTTGAAAAATAACAGTGTTGCTAAGACTTCTTGATATATTGAAACTTTAAAAAAAAGTTAGGTGATTTCACAACAAGTTAACGGTGACTCATTCTAGTGAGAACCGCTATTCGTGCAGACGGTCAACACTGCAAAAAATGTCAAAAGTATTAATGCCTCGTACTCAGTTTTAAAACACATTTTTCTTCAAAATAAGTGAGGGATGAGCAGATACCACTTGTTTTCCATGCAAGCCCAACTCTGGTTGGACTATTTTCAAGAGAGAAATAAGGCAGAATGGGGCAGAACTTACAAACAAGTTGATTTTTCATTTACAACCAGTTGAATAAACCCTTATTTTCCTCTGCAGTGATGCTTACCCAGGTGCTTTGCATACATTCCTGCCTTTAGGGTTGAGTTCTTGGCTGAAACTTGAGCAAAAGAAGAGACAAACCACCGCAACGACAGCAAAAGAGTTCTTCACTTCCATTGTACAAGCAGCAGCATCCTTCTAGACGCCGTTTTTACTCCGCATTTCCCTCCTCCAGAACTAACAATGGTGGCTTTTCACTTGTGTTAAACACTCCAAATTTCTTTCACGCACATAATCCAGATGTATCTTGCTTAAGAAATACGAAATCCTTAGGTCTTTGAGGTGTTTTAAAAAGTCTTGCCACCACCTACGCCATCGAGAAACTCAGCAGCAACAAAAGTGTCCAGCGACAACAATCCCACCATCTGAAAAGTCACAAAACCAAAACTCGACAATCACAGTTTTCTTCATCAACCTTGTTCTCCTGCAGTGCGCCATTTATTCCATCAAAGTTTCTGAAAGAAGCCATCATGCAAAGCTGAAGGGTCCAGACACATAATGACACAGAAATAACTTTTTTCTTTTCCAATATAATGTCCTCAACGCGTGCGGAAACCTGTGGATTGATGGTAATCTTGACAAAAAAAATATTGAGACGAATTAGCTGCCTTTCGCTTTGTCCTCTCTGAGGAGACGCGCTTAATCCGTAACTTTTGTCCTCTCTTGCGCTCTCAGGAGTGGCAGGAGGGAAATTCCTGATTTGTTACTCTATCTTTGGCTTTGTGCGCCATGTGTGCGCCACCAAATTTACATACGCCAGTGTGCAACAGGGTCTGTTTTAATGGCCTTGGTTAAAAAAAAAAAAAAAAAAAAGGGGACTAATTTTTTCATTTAAACAAACAAAAAGTTAATGGAAGTAATTACGATGAAAAAGCATTGCTCTCATATGAAATGAAAATTATCACTGTTGTCACTATTGTCATTGACAGTCTTTTAAGTGTTTGAAATTCATCACAAAAGATTTACAATTATATTTGTAAAATGATTTGTAGAATAGTAACCCACTTGAAAACACTAATTTACTGTAATCTTAATTTAATGCATGAAGAAAGTCTGTGTGCTTTTGAGTGTGGGGGGTGGAGGGGGCAGGAGTGCAACAACTACATGTGAAACAATGGCTCCCCCATCTGTTAACAGGAACAAAGTGATTCTGGCATATGGCACCTCCTGGATTAAATCCTGTAAATGCAACTCCAAGGTCTCCTCACCACTGACAGCGGTAGAAAGGAGCCAGGAGAAATGTTTTTTATTGATCATATTAGATGAATAATGACATCCAGTCCAATATCTTTTTCCAACAAATAGTTGCACAATCATACGCACACCTCATTCCAGTGTTAGGCTTTATGGATCTCCAGGGGTCCTTGGAAGGATTTAGGTCCAAAATAAAGTTATTCATGACCCTTCTACAAAATGTTATGACATGTTTGTGATTTAATTCTACTAGTGTAATTCATGATCCATATGTCAACAAAACCCACTGCCAAAATTTAAAAAAGACGAATGTTCATGACCAAGTTTGACAGGTCTTTTATAAATGACTCAATATTACAACTACAAAGTTACAAAGAATAATTATTTTAAATGTTGACTGTAATTCATTTGATGAAGAAAATACACAAAAGGTCTTTAAGTTATGTAATTAATGTGCATTGCTATGCCTGCCTGCAATGACTTATATATAACTCAAACATGACATTATTTGCATTGAAAATTACGCTAAAAAGGTAGAGTAGGCTACTCAGAGTAATTTATTGGTAATGTGGGCAAATATGAGGCTGATTTACAGGTATCAGCAGCTCTCTCTCATTTTCAGTGCTTTCCAAAGGGGTGTGGTCTTTTTCCTTGTAAGATAGGTTTTTGAATTGTTTGTCTCAAGACAACCAGTGGTCAAAGAAATATTTAGGTCCTGTAGTACAAGTAGCTACAGTATATGACACAATGGATATATACTGAATTACAAGAACAAAGTTCACTCAAGTAAAAGTCAAGTAGTGCTCATCATACAGAGTGAAATATTATATATTATTATACTAACATATTCATATAGCTGATAATAAATAATATTTATCATTGGATTACTTGCAGTCTCTAGCTTAGTTTTGTTTGTTGTTTTTGGTTCTTAATGTATTTATCTGACTTGTTTTTGTGAACTGTCTCTATCAAACAATTTTAATGTTGTAACTGGACAAAGAAGAGCTAATTTTAACTAATTATAGAATACTGTTGGGTAACTTAAATAAATGAATCTGAATTGTTACTGCATATGTTTTTGGTGGAGCAGAGGTATTCTTAGCCCTAAGTAAAGTAGAAGTAACTTACTCAAATGAGTGCTGAAGTAGAAATTGTACTTCAGCACATGAAGCTACTTTGCTTCTGTCCACCACTGATAAAACCTTTAGCCTTTCTTACACTGCAGCACCAGTGAAGTTGAGCAAATGGCTGAAGGTTTGATTAAACGCTAGCTACAGTTCTCTACACGAATAACCTGCTCTTCTATAATAAGTTAGCCTACTCTCCACTGCCGCAAGTTATTCAGTCAAAAAAAAAAGTGGTTGTGCACCTGTACAGGTGTGAAAAAAAGTTATGGGAGTGATAGACAAAACTGTTGCGTCACAGGTTATCCACCAACCAAATGATGCTAATGTGACTGTTTGGCTCGCTATGTGTTTACACTGTGCCTCCAGACAGCTCGCTTCGACAGATGGTCTGTGTCATCTCACCGCTCCACTGACATCTACCTCCTCCAGGCTGATGTTTTATGTCAAAACTGCGCCAGCCTTGACGCGGGCAGGACCGGAAATTCCCTTTAAATGGCTACTCTCCAGGCGAAGACTCCGGTCTACCGTCACCTCCACCACCTCGCCGACCCAGACGGAGCAGCGGGACGATGTCAGCAGCCGCGGCGGCGCTCAACATGACACGGCGCGGCCGGAATCACCCGGACAGCCGGACAGAGGAGGGAGAGACGGAACCACCACCAAGGCTGCTAATGAGACCTTCGTAGACTTTGAGCAGACCCAGGAGGCTTATAAAAGCAAAGACTCATTAGAGCTGATGAGAAGTTTGGTGGTTTTCAAACTCTGTTCCTATGACTTCCTGGTTGATAAGAATAAAGAGGTAAACAGGTGCTAGCTTACCGTGCAGCCCGAACAGTAACCATGACGACAATTTGTTAATGTGATTGGAGTTGTCCAGGTAAACTTGATAATAACAATATATTAAAGGTTAGCACACTTGTTTACTCCAATGTGACATTTTCACATAGCACAGACGGGGGGGTCGACAAAATCAGGTGCGAGAACAAAATGTATTGTAAGACAAAGTTGTCTCGTGACAACTAACCTAGACCTATTTCTAACTTGCATAGCAGTGGAAATTGAAGCTGATAACCCCATGTTTGTACATAGATATGCTTATTTGCAAGGCTTTTATTGATAACGAGATATAGTTGAACTTGAAACGCCATAAGTTGTGTTCAAAACAGCAGCCAGTTTGCCAAGTTTGAACTCCAGACTTTATACACTTTTTAAAGTCATTGGTTTGAACTCAGACATAACTGGTAGAGCCTCAGGCTCAAGTGTAACACCCACCTCTCAGGTTACAATCTGTTTTTCCAAGCATGCAGTCCAAGTTACTTAACCTCTACAGTAGCAGTAGTTACTTAACCTTTACTGCAGGGTAATGTATGGTACAAGAAACACATTTAATTCATTAAAAAAGGGCATTTTCTTTCATGTTGTGATGCATTAATACTTTAGCCTTGCATAACTGGAGGTTCACTTTTCACACTTTGACACCTTCAGGGAGTCAATGTAAAGCTTGGCTGTGGTAGTTACAGCAAGTGGTGACATCAAATGCAAAGTAGAGAGTTAAGAACATGATTTGAATTCTTTTGCTTATGAAAGATCAACTTGCTGCAAGTTGTCTTTCCCATAGTCTGTCAAATAAACCTGTTGCCATCAAATCATGCCCATACACAGCCTGTCTTTCCTGGGACATAATTACACATATAATCTAGGCAAAATTATGTGAAGAATTAATTAGGATTATAAAGCAAATGATATACCTGTCTAAACTGGTTATAATGTCCTCTCCCTTTCTGTTTAGATAATGGATCTAGGTAAGAAGATCCTGGGCCGGAGAGCCTTCGACCAGTTCATGAAGATGACATTTTATGGTCAGTTTGTAGCTGGGGAGGATCACAGAGCCATCAGGCCGCTGATCCAGAAGAATCAGGCCTTCGGCGTCGGCTCTGTTCTCGACTACAGTGTTGAGGAAGACATCAGCCAGGAGGAGGCAGAACAGAAAGACGGCAGAGGGTATGAAAGTTTCGTTATTACCATACATTTCAGATACAACACAGACACTTTTTGCATGCAGTAAGTGTTTGCCACAATTTAATACTTTCCTGTTGTTTGATACCAAAAATAGATTTATCTTTATAACAACCAGGATGTTAACTCCAGTTACAACATGATTTGTTGGCTCAGCCAAGGCCCCCTGTTCTGGATTGGCTGGGTAGAGAGAATGTCTAACTTGTTAGGAATCCTGTCACATGGAGAGCGCAAGGCAGTGGCTATCTGATCTGTGAGCCGATGTAAACTTGGATGACAGCGCAGACCTTATTCAAGCAGCCTTTCTAGGCAGGAGCAGCACTGTTACTTAAATCTGTGCTGTGGGCATCCAGGCATTATGAGTAATTAGGACATTTCATAGTCTAAAATAAAAATTGGACATTCTGGCCCATTTAGGAGTTGGCTCACAGTCGAATCAGTGAGTAAAATTTCCAAAGTGAATTTATTTGATTTCATTGATGTGAAAAACACAAGTGCACTTGTCAAATGTACTTAGCATAAGTGTAATACTCAGCCAGAAATGCCTGACCTTTTATATCTCACACAACAGTTCTATTTCTATTAAGGCCAGATGAAGTGAAATAACAAAGCTGTTAGGCAGTGTATTTACATATCCTTGTGTTGACGCAGAGTGACGGCCGACTGCAATGTCATCTTACGCCAGACAGAACATCCTCTATTACTGTAGCGTTATCACATTCTGTAATGCGATAAAGCTCCCAGGCAAACCCTTTGCTATGACTTTTTTGACCCTGCTTGTACTCAGTGTCGGTTTTTTTTTTTTTTATACCATATCACTTGTAACAAGATATCACTGCTCAGCTTTTTATATTCTTTGTCTCAGAGTTGCCTGCTTGGAAACATCAAAAGAGGTATCAAACCTGAGCCTAGAAAGCTTTTGTTTGCCGAACATACACCTTCAAACTGTAAGGGTGGAGGACAAGGCATATTAAGTCAGCTTGATCTCAGACAGCAGGTTTTGACAGGCACTCCAATGATCTGTCAAGATAGCAACAACAACATTAGTCAGTTCCTTGCAGCAGAAAGAAGATATCAGGAATAGAGGCAAGTTCTGGCTTGCTATTAAGAACATTATATTCACAATCACTGCTTTCAGATTAGTATGCCATATAAAGTACACTAAAAATATACATTTTGGATTTGATTAATGCAAGCTTTTTAATGCCAGTTCTGATGTTTTTGTAACAAAGTTGTCAGTAACTAATATTTTGTGCCAGTAGTCAAATTCATGACAAAAGATAATAAATAACAAATAATCACTGCTTCCAACATGATTGGAATTCTTGGTAGCATCACACAGAAAATAGAAGAAATAACAGAAATAAAATTCATATCCCTGGACACGTGATATTGATTTCAGTGGAGGGTTTAACAACAGGGTTATTAACACTAGCTATTCAATGCAACGTAAAATTCTGGGATTGGTTTCTCTTTTATGGAACTGCAACTAAAAATTATTTTCATTATTTATTAACCTGTCTTTTTTTTTTTTTTACAACTAATTATTTATTTAATCTAAACTCTGCCAGAAACACAGTGAGAAATTGTTATCACAAATTCCCAGAGCACCAAGCCTTGTCTTCTAGTAAAAAAAAAATGTTCTGACAAATGGTCCAAAACTGAGATGTTCAGTTTACAATTACTAGTGGAGTTTTTGTTCTGAATGTGCCTCTCAGTAGGGGCTGATTGCTTTCCCTGCATTGAGTTCCACTTTCCTGTGTGCACTGTAAAGTCCTCAATAGTAGATATGTGAAATTTGAAGTTGATCAGATGAACGATTGTTGGGGAAATCGAAGGACAGACATAAAGGACAGAGGTTTACTCCAGTTATAGTTAAATATAAAACAAAAAAAAAAGCAGCATCATTGTTTTCTCTGTCAATTACTCAAATTATAATTTGAATATCAAAATAAGTTAATGATTAATTCTCTGTCCATTTACTTCTTGATTAATTGGCTCTACCATTTCCATAAAAAATACAAAGAACAGTACTGAACAAGTGGCCTGAGTGACTAAATAAAAAGGTGTTTAAGACAGTGTAAGGTTTCATGATTTTCCATGGCATGTAATGTTAAAAGAAGATAACGGAGCGTTATATATGTAACCCAGGTTCTCTGAGTGGAGAGACTATCTCTCCACCCTACATATTCCATATATACAGGGACTGACCCCCACGGGGGCAGCTGACATGGATACTCTTTAAGACACATCGACTGTGGTGGCCACGCACTGATTAACAACACGTGGTTACATAAGCACCAGGCAAGCGTGGCCTCCTTGGTTAACCTTGATTGAAACCGTTTCGGAGCAGCTTTTAGCTGGAGAGATAGTCTCTCCACTCAGAGAACCGGGGTTACATATGTAACCTTCCATTATCACGTGTCAAGACTATCTCTCCACCCTACATATTCCATATGTACGGGATCTCTGAGACAGACCGGAGAAAACCAAGCACACCCTACTGCTCCTGCAGGAGCCTGAGATGACAGTTGAGTTCAAATGAGACATCACCACCACCAGAGTGCTCACCCATGTGCTCCAATAAAAAACTATTTACAAATATACAATATGTACACACCCATGACCTAGGTGCAAGATGCCACCAAAGCTTAGCTGTCCCCGCCAGATGCTAAGGCCAACTGTAAATGGGTGAGAGGCCTTAGAAAGAAAGACCCTGAGCCTTCCTTGTAAGAGCCGTGATCCCTGGGGCATCGATTGTCAGGCCCCTATCCTGCCGCACTGCGCCCAGGAGACACTCAGTGAATGGAGTACTGGCTTCCAGGTTCATGCAGCAGAACCTGATAAAAGTGGATGGGGGTTGACCAAGATGCAGCCGCACAAAGCTTTGATAGAGCAGTACCTCGCCCTATACCCATGAGCTAGCAAGGCCCCATGTAGAATGGGCACGCACCCCTGCTGGGGCTGGCCTTCCTGCTGCCTTGTATGCCTCCAAAGCAGTTAACAACCAATGTCTGAATGTATGTGAACACTTATGCTACTCAAGATTCGCTGGAAAATGTCCTCCACCGGTAACACTATTCACCCCTCATACATCAGACACTCTGACAGAAAGGGTAAGTGGAACTTGGAGGAGTGCCGGTCACCCGGCTTTTCCCTTGTTTACTTTCTGAAATCGCTCGCGTCGAGGAACAATAGCTGTGACTGTTAAAAGGTGCTTCATACACTTCAGCCACGGTGTAAAAGCGATCGGCTTTAAAGCGTGGCCGCCTTTCACGTGGGACAATGGCTTACAACCAGCTGAACGGAAAACCCGGTGCCACAAGCTGCCACGCTTTTAGCAGCCTGTGTTTGTAAGACAGTGCAGCAGCCCACAGAGGGGCCAGCTCTCCTACTTATAAGGTAAGTGGACCACACTGATGTCAAAAGCAAACGCTACGTTCAGTACTCACACGTCTAGGTACACACGTCCGCTCGACTCCATGGTAATCAAAGAATCGAAGACGCCACGCATGCGTGGTGCTTTTATAACCACGTGTTGCTAGTCAGTGCGTGGCCACCACAGGTGATGGGTCTTAAAGAGTATCTACATCAGCTGACCCCCGTGAGAGTCAGTCCCCATACATATGGGATATGTAGGGTGGAGAGATAGTCTTGACATGATAGAGAACTCTCTTTAGTTTTCCTGGCTTAGAAACCTGCTGACATCTACATTACATGAACATCAAGTGTCCTGATGGGGGGGGAGGGGGGGCATGGAGTGAAGCTTCATCAGCCCTCTACGTAGGGTCAGCAGGCTGACAGCGGGACAGTTCAACATATATAGGGTCACTAAACACAGTGCCAGCATCTGGCATGCGACTGCCACAAGGCCAAAATGTTCACAGAAAGAATGCTAGCTCCCAAAGTGAACTCCAAAATGCTTTGACATTTTGCTTTGACAATTATGATGCAACTTACATTTCTAATATTGCCCCAAAGTCAGGGCACATTAACTCACTTTGTCCTCTTGTCCTCTTGCATTCCTAATGCAGCTCATGTGTATCCGCTGCAGAGAAAGAGAGCATAGGTAAGCTGTCTTGTTTTGTTCTCATTTGTGGATATAGTATATGATGTAATTAGAAGTAATAGGCATGCAAATTTGCTTTCACCTTCAGGCAAGGACCACAGTGAGAAAAAATATAAAGCACACAAACAGTTTGGGGACCATGGTGGGAGAGTGACCGGAGCTCACACGTATTTCTACGCTGATGAGGCCAAATGTGACCAGCATATGGAAACCTTCATCAAATGCATCAAAGCATCTGGTAAGTAAACAGAAGTTACACCACATTAATAAAACTACTTTACAACATGTCTGTTTTGGTTGTAACTCTATGCTGGCTCATGTACTTTGATATTTTCTACCAAATGCTGCAAATATCGTCATCCTTCAACCAATTGATCTGTGATCTGCCTCTGTAATCCACTCCAATTATCACATGCAGCACAGTCCTTCTACATGCATTTACCATCATGATAATATTTTTGTCTGTTTGACCTGTAGGTGGAAGTTCAATGGACGGTTTCTCTGCCATCAAAATGACTGCTCTAGGACGACCTCAGTTTCTGGTAGGCACTAAGGGGTGATTAAAAAGTCACTGTAGCAGTTTAGCTGATAATCTTGCTGTAGAGGTGGGTTAGACTGACATCATGCTTGTTTTTTAAAAGCTCCAATTCTCAGAGATCCTGGTGAAATGGCAGCGATTTTTCATCTTCCTGGCATCACAGCAGGGGAAAGATGGCATGGAAGCCTTAGAGCAAAGGCTGGAGCTGAAACAGCTACAGGTAGTCTTTTCCTCTTCCACTTTTATTCTGGTGATGTTTAATTACAGTGATACATCACATGCAGTGCACTTTTATGGCATACACAGTGTGAGGATATTGCTACAGCTGTTGCTACAGTATGTTAAGTGCATTGCTTCAGGTTTCTATATCTGTCTAGGAATTCTTGACCGAACTGGGTGCAAAAGGCGACTTCTATGGCTGGTTTACAGGCAGGAAAGAGGAAACGTCAGGGTAAGCAAGAACACAGATGACCTAAACACACACAAATACATCTGTATATTCAAGGCAATTTAGAGGAAAATTCATCCAATGAAAAATAATGATTAAAAAGAACACACTGTGTCCTAATGGATTGTGATGCAATTTGCAGTGGTTATACTTGACATAATCATTTAATCACATCATTAAATCACATAACATGCAAAACAAAACGCATATTTATCATATTTTTCTTGATTTATTCATTGTCATAGTTCATTGTACAGTACATACACAATATTGCTGTTTAAATGACTTATGACTTTTAAACATTTTACTGCTGAAGTTATTTATAATATTAGTTAATTGTGATGGAATAACAGTCAACACTTGTTATTTTTGAGTCACAGCATCTTATGAAAAAAAGTTAGGAAACAGCTGTTTTAAAGTTCATCTCAAGGACGTGTTGCTACAGAGTGACAGAAAACGTGAAATTAAACAGAATACTGGTAATATTTTAGACTCATTGATGTGCTGTTGCCATAATACCTGTCTGTCCTCTGCCCTGACAGGAGCATTGACATGCTCGACTGGAACAGCCTAATAGATGACAGAACAAACACATCAGACCTCCTGGTTGTCCCGAATGTAAAGGTCAGTGGCATTACACGCTGACAGAAAGTGGCAATAACTGAGATGAAAAATGCAGTTAGCAAAAACATCCTTAAACTTTAGATATGATTCAAGACCCAAACTTGTGGAGACAATAACTGACTTGTTATATAACTGAGACCTGTTTACATTTTCTAAATTTGAAGTGTATATCATTTACAACAGACAGGAGAGTTGAAGTATCAGCGGGACCTGATTTCAACCAGAATGACAGAAAGTAATGATGCATGATGAATATAGATATTGGCTAATTATTGGCTCTGGGTTAGGGAAAGACCTGAGTTAATTGCACATCTACAAAATCTGGGCACGTTGTCATAAACATATCTGTTGACCTTGGACTAAAGACAGCTGAAGGGTGGATATAATAAGAAACACTGACAGGTTTCATGCTGTATGATATTTGGTTCATTAGCATTTCATGCTGTATACTCTACTGGGTTGTTTGCTCAGCTAGGTGAGCTGGAGCCTCTGCTGGAGAAGTTCACCGGAGAGGAGGAGAAACAACTGCAAAGGATCTTACAGCGTATGGACATCCTAGCCCAGGTAATCTTACATAAACTATCAACATGAAGAATGATCACTGCAGGCAATTAGTGGCAAATCAGCAAGAAACAAGCACATACTGTATATAATAATGCTGGAATTAAATATATTGTTAGTTATTGCGTTATATTAATATCCAAATAAATAGTATTATCTGTATTGTAAAAGAAAGCCCCAATGTATGTGTAGACAGAACCACTGATCACCTTTGTTTAGTTAAAGATGGCTTCATTAATTCAACTATATTTAATGAACCTTTAGAATAATGAGCACTGTTAGGTGATATTATACCAAATTAACAAGCTCTTTCTCGTCCTAGCATGCCCTAGAGAACGGTGTTCGCTTGATGGTGGATGCGGAGCAAACCTACTTCCAGCCAGCTATCAGCAGGCTGACGTTAGAAATGCAGAGGATCTACAACAAAGACAAGCCTGTCATCTTCAACACGTACCAGTGCTACCTAAAGGTAAGAACACACAGCTGGAAAAAAAAAGCACCAGATGTTCCAGTCTGTCAGTGTTGAATATGCACACAAATCATGCAATCACAACAATTGTAATTCTCATGATAAAGACCACGCTGTGGTATATTGTGTAACTTCTGTAGTCAGATTACTAAGAGTCAGCTGAGATGATGAAGAAACAGCGACATAGCCAAGACGAAAATAATGTTGGTCAGAAATTTGGTGCTTTATCTTTATTTTTAATGAGCGACTCTAAGTTAGAAGCTGTTTAAGACGCAGTAGAGTTTCATTCTTGTGCTTAACATCCTCTTTTCATCCTTGTTCGTATTCTGTCAAAAATACATAGCCTTACTATATTGTCATGTAAAACATACGCTGTTGTGAAATAAAAATAACAAATTCAAATAACACAACACTTAGATTGTTGGTTCCACTTTGTCACAATTAGTTGCTGTAATTAATGATACACTGCTGCTTTGCTGCTGATGTTGCTCAAACCAGAATAAGGCAAGTTCTCAATGATGTGTTGCTTTTTTTCCCCCCATGAGAGTAATTTATGTAGAAACACAACCACAAAGTGATGTCAGCACAATCTTGTTTGACTAATTGAGACCCACAAATGTTTTAACAAGATCACTCCGACTTTGTCTCTCATAGCGTCTTCATTTTTGCTTGCAGGCAATCATGGTGAGGTAGAATAGATGGGCTGAATCTTGATAGGAATAAGAATAATGTGTAATGGCTCTGTAATAGCTGATGAGTTAGATCTACAGTAGTCAGTAAAAATGGAAATGTGATACTTTGCTCAATTCTGTATCTAAACTTGAAGCACTTGATTCAGATTAATCTTTGCTAAAGAACGAGTCGCCTTGTCTTTTTTTGTTCTGCAGGAGGCCTATGACAACGTAACTATGGATGTAGAACTGTCACGGCGTGAGGGCTGGCATTTTGCTGCCAAGCTGGTGCGTGGGGCCTACATGTATCAGGAGCGAGAGAGGGCCGGAGACATTGGTTATGAGGACCCTATTAACCCTGATTATGAGTCTACCAATAGAATGTACCACAGGTAGGAGCCAAGACCTGTTTCTGCCTTATCAGCTGCTGACAACTGTCCAAATCTGCACCTGTGATGTTTGATCTTTTTTTGCCAAGCCAGGCTCTTATTTCTTCATCTTGATACTGGAGCTGTCTGCTATTAATATATCCTGTTGCTACTGGATAGCAAACAGTTTAGAGTTCAGTTTCTTCCATAAAAACACCCCAGGTAAACACCTTTTTCCCACTTGTGCCACTCCAAATTTCCCATGTGGTTCACAGATTTAAACTGGCCACTTTATAGGCACAAATCCACTGCAAAGGACGGCACAGGGATTTACATTTACCGAAGTGGTCTTCAAATTCGAGTTTTGGGTTTATCATGTTGTGTCAGCAGCAAGCTTCCACCCTGTTGAGTCGTCCTTGTACAAGTTAGAGAAAACATCCAGCTCTCTGCAGGGGTTCTGTGTTGTAACAATTTTCTGACATTCCTAGATTAAGGCAAGCTCAAAGAAATCAACCTGTGGAGATCAATATGTTTTGCACAAAAAAGCGGAAAGGCCAAACTCCTCAAGCATTCGATTAGATTTTGAAGTAAACATCAACATAGGACAGGCACAGCATGTGTTGGGATTCAACAATGTGCACATGGTGGTAAAATACATGCATATTAACACAACTACACGAGCAGGAAAGCAGACTGCAGAGATCCTCCCAGAATGCATTGGTTCAGGTTTCTGAAAAATAAGTTTAGTGTTTAGGGAAAATTTTAATATTTAGTTGTGTAAAGGCAGTTCTGCACCACACAATAAATCTTACATGCTAATGAGAAAGATTTGCATGGATGAGTAATGTGAACACTGTGAGCCACATTATATATACAATGTACTATAACATATCCAGTTTAAATTTTTATAGTCAGTAGTGTAGTAGAGAACAATTGAGGTTTTTGTTCCACTTAACACACAAAAGTTTGTGTGTGTTTGTGTGTGTCTGTGATTGTGCAGGTGTCTGGATTGTGTGCTGGATGAGATTGCACTCAACAGAAATGCCAACGTAATGGTTGCTTCCCATAATGAAGACACAGTGAAACACACCATACAGAGGTACAGTTTCAATCCTATCGAAGCAGACGGTTGAAAACACAATTGATTTTTTGAATACAGCACTGGATCTGGATAAACCAAGTTATTTTTGTATGTGTCCCTCTCTCTCTCTCTTTTTCTCTCTCTCTTTTTCTCTCTCATTCAGAATGAATGAGCTGAGTCTCTTTCCCACAGAGAACAAGGTGTACTTTGGTCAGCTCCTGGGCATGTGTGATCAGATCAGTTTCCCATTGGGTGAGAAAACTCCACACTAACACACTCTCTCACACAACCACACGACAATGACGAGGCACTGATCTCTCCTGCCCCAACACAAAGCTGTTGATTTGACAGTGTCAGCGCAGCCTCTGCGGAGTCAGTATTTGCCATTCTCCTCTATCTCAACTCCCAGCTGTGTCTCCTCCTAATGCCTTTGAGTTACACAGGTGCCCTACACACCACATGGAGTGCATGAAGTGCACATGTCAGTCTGCGGCCCGTAACGTGACATATGAACCGAGACACCTCAGTATTGACAAGCTGTCTTAGCGAAGTGCTACTGCCGGCTCTCACCACTTTGTTTGTCAGTCAAAGACAGACGCGGCAGCAGCAGGCAGTTATCTGTCAATGTGAGGCTGAAGTTGAAACAACCTTGACCAGCACTGATGTAAACAGACACACATGTTTCTATGTTGTATTCTCCAGGGATAGCGTAGTCGGTGCTGTGTCTTAGAAACCTGCAAGTTTTATGAAATGCAGCAGAATGGAGTTGAGATCTTTATTTTTTGTCTCTTGCTTACTACACAGATTGTTTTTTTAAAAAGGTGCTACATTCAGTTTGCATGATTTTGTTTTCAGATTTGCTGTGGTTCAGGGTGTTGTTTTCATGACTGTTTTATTTTATCATGTTTTGTTACCTTGTAAAGTAATTGTGGATTAGATAAAAAGCTTCGACCGGCAACAGCAGCTCTTCTAATTCAAATACAGAAAACTGAGGGTGTCTCTGCATATGCTGAAAACCTGCCTGATTAGAAAGGGTTGTAGCAATCACTCAGCGAGGCAAGCCAATGAAAATGACATCCAGTTGGGATGTGCAGTTTTTGTTTAACCTGTAAATTGAAATTACAACACCTGAAGTTATAAAAATCACATTTTAATATCACAAAAAGCTTTTGGTGATGTTTGCAGCCTGATTTATCTATGTTTATCCTCTTCATCCATACCATTGTACACATGCCTTCTAAGACCCTTTTCTACTTTCGTTGCATCCCATACCATCCACTTTCAACCCTAGGTCAGGCAGGCTTCCCTGTCTATAAGTACGTCCCCTATGGGCCAGTCAACGAGGTGATGCCATACCTGTCTCGGAGAGCCCAGGAGAACAGAGGCTTCATGAAGGGCGCCCAGAAGGAGAGGGAGCTGCTGTGGAAGGAGCTGAAACGCAGACTTGCCTCTGGGGAGCTTCTCTACAGACCGGTGTACTGAAAACACAGAAGAAGAGACAGCGAGGAGAGTGTGTCAACGTGCTGAGTTTTTTTTTTTTTCCATATCTTTTCTGGTTGACGGCTGCTGCTGTGACTGTCTGTTCTGTCTCTCCCTCAGTACAGCGCTCCCTGGATGTACAGTATATCTCCTGTTCTCCCCTGTCCCGGGGTTTTCTTGCTGATGGGCCGTTTCTGCATGTCACTCTCTTTTTCTGTCATCCCACTGTTGTTTCTCTCCATTTCCTGTTCCCCTTTCTGTTCCTGACTGTTCCACCTTCACTCCTACCTGTAGTTATATGTACTCCCCATGTTCTCCCTATTTCTTTCCTTATTTGCCTCTGCAACCATAAGCATTCCTCACTTTGTCTTCCCATTGTCTATGGAGCTCTGTTATCCATCAAGTGGGCATCTTTACTACTCCAAAAGGACTCCCTAAAATGTCAACGAGACTGGGGCGGACATCTGGTTTTATCACCCTATTTATCTTGGAGAGGGACAACAATAATAAAATAATAGGCTTGATTTAAATGGCAGTAAAGAAAACATCAATATTCCCCTCCTATATTATTATTTTTTTGACTCTTGGATGGCCGCACAGTATCCCGCGGAGGCTTCTCTGCACCGTATATTTGTGCACCATGTTTGAGGCTTTTTTGCCGGTTTGAAAAAGAAGCCTGTTTATGAATCAATGAGAAAGTATAAATGGTTCCTCGCAGCACATCCCTACTCTTCTAAGAGTGCTATTGTAGAGTGTTATTGTATTTACCGGAGGAAGCTATATTCTTGGTCACTGAGGTGTTGCGAGAGAGTGTTGTGAGAGAGTATTGAGTGTTCGGCAAGTGAATCTCCTTTTAATACAGGTGCAGACGAGTGTGACAGCTTGTTGTTCTTTTTCATGACAAATACTTTGTAAGGTGATAATATGTTAGCAGGTTGCCTTTTGGTTTTATTGCATTTTGATTAATTCAAATTTTTATTTTTGACAATGTAAATATGTTTGAAGTGGGTGATCCTATTTGTTGATTTTACATGTCTCACTTTATGGACCTGTGAAATTGTTCAATAAATAAATATGTACTGTATCAATAGCAAAAGTGCACATGACACTTTAATTAAAAGAAGGACTTGATGATATTGACTGCAATATTATAGCTGCGAGCTGTTTGCACAAGCTTAGGTTGTTTTGGGTTTTAATTCTGGGACATATTCTGCTTCGTTATTGATACACAATTAGTATTTGAGTCAGGGGGTAACCAAGCTTCATGATAATTATGGCCTTGTCATTTTATGAGAGCAGTCAGTGCTCTGTAGACCATCATTTAATTACCCATGATGCTACGCTCAGTACAGATCACAGAAATTGGATGCATTAATCATTACTCAGAAGAAACTTTAGTGGCTGTTAAGTTTTACTGAGGCAAAGCGCCACAGAGCTGTCACTGCTGCTGTATTCTATCGGTTTAATTAAGAATCAAGTCTACTTTTGATGTAAGATGTGCCTTTGGGTATACATTTGCCAACAAATCCCTTCTTACACGGCACTGGAGTTTTCCTGGTTAGCTTCAGCTGCAAAGATGATTTAGAGGACACATTATAGTGTAGAAAAATTCTACACAAGTTCCAAAAGTCAGTCAAAACCAGCATGGGCTCAGCATATTCTTTGAGACTTATCAACACTTCTCCCTACGTTCAAGCGCAGGCATATAATAGAGTCAGCCGAGGCTAATTTACTTTATGGAATGAATGTTGACATTGTATTACGCGAGACGTGAAGGATGGCATATACGTAACCGATTTCTCTGGGCTACTTTGCCACTGGCTCCACACGGTTTGACGTCTCAGATTGTTTGTTTAACTGTGCCCTTGACTTTGTGCTTTCACAGGGACCACACAGCGGCCCGGTGCATTTCAAAGCACTGTGACATATGCTGTGACAGGCCCTGATTTAAAAAAAACATGCTGAGCATTGTTTTTCAGGTTCCCAAATTTTAAGATGATTTGTTTTTACTGTAGCACAATGAATGGATTGGCTTCCTATTTAATCTCTAATTAAGCAGACGACGGCTTTGAGGGGGGCCAGAAGTATTGTGTGTTTTCATCTTTTGACAGTGAATTGATACAAACAAAAAAAAAACATAGGCCTGGGCACGTTCAGCTGAATGACTGTAATCATCCCCACAGTATGAGATGGTGTTAAAACTTTATTTGACCCCAGGAGGGCTGAGAAAGGTTAGAGAAATCATTTCGCAATATACAGGAGAAGACTGATTCATAAATAAAATGTTTTTCATGTAACCCCACCTAAACATTCACCTCAGTGATTTGATCTTCTCAACAATTTAGTTGGAACCACAGAATGAATCACCCGAGAGTCCATCAGTGTACACCCACGTATGACTGTAACAATGGTAGTAGTACTCACTAACTAACCACCTGCTGACTGACCTTTGGCTGTTGTTTCATTTCAACAGGAAAATCCAGATCCGTCATTATAAGCTGTATTCTGTACGACAACAGGTATCTGTGGCCTCTGTAAAAAATGTAACCAATACACTGGAGAAAGGGTGAAAATACAGAAAGGAGACGATCAACCAGAGACAGTAGACTGTATTTCCTGACATTGCAACATGATCTCAGCATCATTTCTTCATGGCCAGTCAGAGTGACAAGCATGGTATAACTTAGTATATTGACGTCAGTGAAAATGCTGCAAGACGTGTCAATATTTTATTTCAACATCTGACACTAACTTGGCTCAGATGTCTAACAAGGAGAAAGGGTTGTTAACTTTCAGCAAGCATTTCCACAGTAAAAATAATTGGCAACACAACAATAAAGGTACACAGGAAAAGTAATTAATGAAGAGCAACTGAGGCACCAACCAAAAACGCAGTGCTAATTAATGAATGTCTCACAAATAGTTCCTGAATAATTGGAAATAGTATAGTCTATAATCTACATACACAGTGGCAAGAAAAAGATCTTTATCAGATCTTTATCCAAGTTATCAACAATCCAAGTTATTAACAATCATGACCAAACACAATATATATTAACTAACAACACAGAAATCATTGTGTTGTTCTTGACCATATTGGAAACACTGAAACATTCATAGTGTAGGCCCTCGGCTAATGGCATTAACAAAAGCTAATTGGAGTCAGGGGTTATCAACCCTGGGGGCCAATCAATGAAACAAGATTGGAGATGGGGTTGGAGCTACTTTGACTTATAAAAAACACACTTAAACATTTTAAGTTTGCTATTCACAAGAGACATGATGTGAACCATGTCTCACTAAAAAGAGATGTCAGAAGACACCTCTTTTTGTCGGAAGACATTTTTAAATATGAAGCTATGGCCAGCAGTTAGCTTTCCAGGAAGTCGAGGCGCCTGGCCAAGAAATAGTCTAGCACATAACCCCTGGCGAAACAAACAAACAAACCATCAAATGTCTAGTGAATATATGGATTTTGTTGCCTGTTGGTACCAGGGCAAAGTTAGCCCGCTGTTTCCTCCTGTTTCCAGTCTTTTGAGCTAAGCTGAGCTAAGCTAACTGGCTAGCTTCATATTATATACCTGTCAAACTACTCCTTCAGTGATGTGTTACATGAGACAGACTGCTACAGACTAACCAAATAATTGTGATACACAGGAAGAAAACTGTCAGTAGCAAAACTTCATAGGGCTACAGGAACGGACGACTGCTACAACACTGCAGACACTCCATAAAAAAGGTATTTATGAGCATTTATCTAAGTCTCACATTATTCATTTAAACTTGTTTTTTTGGTGTGTCGGAGGAGTCAGGTGTAAACTAGCTGTAGCCTGAAGCTTAGCTCTTTGAAGAAAAATCATAAAAATAATTAGCAGTCTGTAAAACTTGTGTGAAGATGATCTCATATAGCAAAATATATATCATAGCGCTTCCTGTGATCCGGAACTAGCACAAGCTGGTTTTACAAAATGTATGCAAGGATGATGGACAAGCCATGAGCCTGTGGAAAACAACATTTGCAAATGACCAGTCTGGCATATATTTAAACATCACAGTAAAGAACTTTGGGTTTCAGCAGAGTTTTATTTGACTATGAAAGTCTCCAGCTGCGTCTGTACTGCTCATCTACATAATGTGAAACTACTGCAGGAGTGCTTTAAATCACCACCTGTCCTGTCAAGCTATATTCATGTTTGCAGGTATTTCCCTGTAGACAGCAAACACAAGCCAAAAATTTGACTTGTCAAACTGTTCCTGGTAAATTAGCACTTGTTAATTCTGTTAAATTATGTTGTAGATCCACAGTTAGTGACATAGTTGGCTGACCTGACCAAATAGCACTGTCAAAACTTATATTTAGTCTGCAATTCTCCTTTGGGCTCTGTCATATGGCATTTTCCCATTACTTTGCCTTTCATTACAGGGAGAAATGAAGGGAATCTGTGTTGTTCATCATAGCTACTTAGTGAGAAATGTAATGAATCATTGAGCTAAGTTGACCTCAGAGTCTGGACCCAGTCCTGCACTGAAGGAATCCCCCTGGCCGCAGTAAGCTCTGATGTGAACCAGTGAGTAAACAAATGAGTCGTAAACACAACAGATGGGACAGGCGATGACTAATCTCATCTGTCCAAATAGAGTAACAGAACGTAGCACAAATGATCAAAAGCGGAGGGAGTGCAAGAGAAAGGGGGAGGGATGGGAAGTTTGTGTTTTCCTATCCCGCACATTGTCAAGTGAGCATGACGGAAAACACTTTTATATCACATGCCAAATGCTTCACATCGTGCCATCTCCATGGGTGTCACCACTATGCTATCAAACACAAATCACTGAAATCATCTGCCGAATTTCCTGAATGGATTTGTATGGCACTTATCACAGGTTCTTGTGACAGGGAGGGCTGATAAAGAAAATGCAAATAACATCACACCCCTTGCACACCCCCGAAAAAATTATTATTTTTCTCCTCTTCAGTCAACCTGTCATTACTGACTGGTTGGTGTGTTTTAGTAATCTCATTTGGAGGCGAGTAAAGCTGTCCAGGAAGACTTAAAACCACAAAAGGCCATGACAGCAGCCTCCCAATCCTCTTCCTCAAAGTCACCAGTTAAAGTGGATGACTTGATTTCTTTCAGCCCCCCCCCCAACACATAAACCTTTTGTTCTGTGCCAGTGAATGGCGCCCATGTATTATAGATCATTAAACCGCTTTCATCTCCTCTCTTTGAGATGCATACTGTTTTCCCTTTGAAAGCGATAAGCATGGTGCAGCACGAACGAGTCACGACTGGATAAAAAAGAAAAAAAAAAAAAAGAAGACGGGAGGTTCCTGTGTGTGTTTGTGTGTTGAGGAGGAAACTACTTAGATAATGCCACCAGTGTGGAAAAGAGCAGAGCAGAGCAAGTGATTCGTCACAGCCATCGGCCAAACAACCTTGTTGATATCCTCGCCCTGAAAGGCTTTAATTTCCCACCTTTGCCCAAACACACTTAAAACACACGCATAACCACATGTGCACATGCAAACATAGAGGAACGATATAGATGTGGAAGCACAAGACACAGATTACTATGGGCTCACACAAACACACCTGCACCCACACAGGCTTACACACACACACACACACCACACACACACACACACACACACACTCTCTTCCTCCCGTCAGTTCCCATATCTATCAGTCTGGGGTGAGAGATGATTTGAAGCGGCTCAATGTTTTGATCATTAGTTTGGACTCATGGAGTGCAGCAGCAGTGAAAAATGAGACTGCTATCTCATGGCCACCTGTTCTTTTAATAAGAAAAAGAACAATTCCTCATCACAGGATGGATTGGCTACCTGATGCCTGGGGAAGAAAACCATGTTGGTGTGTACGCACTTGGCTGAGTGTTTATTTGTGCCTGCATGGGTTTACGTCTTAATTCAATTCTGCCCATACATGACTGTGGATATATTGTATATACACAACAGAGCCGGGATAAAAGTAACGCATAAATCTTCCCGGAGTACAAAGATAATACAGTAGATATCAGGTAGTAGAG